TTATACGCGTCTAACTCTCCGTTAATTTACAATGCAATAAAAAAAATATATAAAAACACTCACTGCAAAAACTCAGCAACCGAAGCTTCTAGCATAGGGAGACTATGAGCATCGACTCGGACGCATGAAACCATATCTCGGAGTTTAACTATAAACAGTAAAAAAAGTTTCAAAGGACAGACATTTTTAGGTTCAAAAATTCACATGAATTGTTGTATGTATGTTGTATGAGCTTGAAAACTATGTACACACCAGTTATTTGCATGTAGGATTTCATCATGAGCTGACATCAGTTAGAGAACCACTGGAAAACCAACCAGGGAGTAGTGCCAGACAGCTATTTCCCCCGTCCTAGTTTTGGATTGATTGTTCAGCAGTACGCACCCACCCCCACTGACGGGGTTCGAACCCAGGACCTTCTGGTTACAAGGCGAGCTAGCTCGTAGACCAATACTTAATAAACTGATCTGATGCTCACTCACTACCGAATGGCTCTCTCTATTCAGGCAGTTAACCTGGGGTTCCAGTGGGAGGACGTGACCAGTAGGGTACACAGCAAGTCGAAGGTGAAGGCAGTTAGTACTCATCGAAGACATTGTGATAAGTGGTCGCGCTATATGTCGTGCGTGAATTGGCAGAAGTTAGAATTCATGGACTGGCTGGCCATTGGATCGGACCCCAGTGGCTGCTGAATGGTCTACGAGCTAGCTCGCTGGCCTAGTAACCAGAAGAGGTCCTGGATTCGAACCTCGTCGGTGGGTGCATGCTGTTGAAGAGCCACAAACTAGGACGTGGGAAGCAACTGCCCAGTGCTCTCCAGTGGTGCTGTTCAAATGGGGTTCTCTAACCGATATCAGCGGTCATAATGAAATCCTGCAACCAATAAAAAAAGTCCCTACAAAAACCAATACTTTAAAATACTTTTTGCAATAACCGAAAATACCCATTGAGTCATGAAGAAAATAAAAGACAGATTCAGCGAAGAAAATTTTCATCATCGACGTCGATAAGGAAAATTTTCTTCGCTGAATCTGTCTTTTATTTTCTTCATGACTCAATGGGTATTTTCGGTGATTTGAAGCAGAGCAAGAACCCTGTGACAGTGAAGGAACTTGATACGTTTCTTAAGTTCTCTGTCAAAATTGCCATAGCGAATACGAGAATCAGTTTTCTGAAGAGCTGTATTGATAAGAAGGAATATCCCAAGCACTTCTGGAAATGTCTTCGTCGCAATCATATCCACCCAAACCATCGCTCTTTGAAACGTCATAAACTTTTTGCAATACTTGAAAATGTAGGGGGTTTCTTTCAACAGAACAGTCACTCCGTATACTTAGTCATTCTGATAATAACACTTCTATCAACAAACGGTCTATAAACAGTTTACTTGTCACTTATACTTTCTCATACTGAACATTATTTTGATTAAGAAAAAAACTGTCAGCCCATAGGTAAATAATCACAGTTTATTTTTTTCAATTTCTTAGTATCAAGTATTAAAATTGCAGAAAGTACTACTTCCTGAGATGTCTAAATGTCGTGGAAAACACCCATAAGGACATTAGAAAAACGAGAGAACACGAAGTTCATCAAAGATGACGATATTTTCGACGATTTCATTTTCAAAAGTAACTGTACAATCGCATTTAAATGCATAGTTTTAAATGGACACAGAGTTACGACGGTGAATAAAAGGTGACAATTATTTTCAACTAGATATGGTTTACAAGGAAAGGCTTAGAAACAAAATTACACAGGATTAGAACGGATAACAAGTGTGTAAAAATGAGCGAGCATGGAAACAAAATTGAAATATTAATAATAATTTTCAACTTGAGATGGGAGTTAGGAGGTGTGAATATAGATTACAAGCCTTAGAAACAAAAATTCTACAGGGTTACAACGAATTACTGGCGTATAGAAAATGAGCATGGAAACATCTCAACTGATTCTTTCAAAGTAATTTACAAAGTCAACAGAAACCTACCAAAAGCAGTATGTTTCCGACTTCCCTGTACTGCAGAAGCCTTCGCAATATGCATCTAGAAGCCGGAGCTGTGTGTTCAAAAGAAATCAGTCCAACATCTACAACTACCATGGACCTAGTTCGGTATGTTCCCTTAGCTTCCATTCTCTTTTTTGATCTTCTTTCGTTCGCTGTGTGTGTGTGTGTGATTCCTACTCCCTCTGTCTTCATTCGATTCACCCCATTTCCGTTTTCAGTTAAAAGAACAGTTATTTTAAGTTTGTTTCCATGCTTTTCGTGTTCACATTTATAATTCGTTTAAAAAATAACTATTTTACAATTATATCTTAATCCTGTGCAATTTTTGTGTTTCTAAGGCTCTTGTAATCTATATTGGCACCTCTTAACTTCCATCTTAAGTTGAAAATTACTATTATTATTATTATTATTTCAATTTTGTTTCCATGCTCGCTCATTTTTACACACCTTGGTTATCCGTTGTAATCCTGTGTAATTGTGTTTAGGTAACTAAACCAGATTTAGTTGAAAAAAATTATCACATTTTATTCGTCGTCGTAATTATGTATCCGTGTAAAACTATGGATTTAAATGCGATTGTACAGCTACTTTTGAAAATGAAATCACCGAAAAGATCGTCATCCCTGGTGAACTTCGTGTTCTCTTCTTTTAAAAAAATTCACACCTTATGCAGTGAAACCAAAAAATCACTCAAAATACATAGTTTAGTTGTTTAAATATCATAAGAACGGAACATTAATTCCATATTAGTTCGTTTATTAGATGGATGTATCACACACAGTCAGTCAGTGAAACAGTATTAGTATTTACTGGATGACAAAGTTGTTTCGAACACAATTCATTATTGCTCTTCATAATCATATCATCAATTATAATCACACGACTTCGAAACTTGAGTTTCATGGTTTTCTTTGGCCTCTCCTATTTGTCATCGTCTTTGGGGTAGTAGAATATTACAGATATCTGGCTGGACAGGTGTTGAATCATTCCTGTTACACGTGTTGATTTGCAGTTGATTCGATAGACAAAGCTTCTGTTATCAATCTCTCCCTCCCTCTATTCACCCTGTGACATTAAATTTCAAAGCTGTCATCCTATCCCATCCAGCCTATTTTATGTTTGTGTGTGATTGCATGTAGTGCTTGCAATAGCTTCTGAACTATTCTCTAGATTTCTTATCTTATTCGGGTCAACTAATCTAGATTTTGCTGCTAGGTTTTTATGCTGTTCGGAAAGTCTGACTCACTGACCCCGTTCTACTACTTTGACCTATGTATTTGACCTGACAATCATTGCAGACAGGGTATTAGATAAACTAAATTGTTTTGTTTTATTGGATCCACAGGATTGATCCTTTAACTGACTAAGCTTGTTTCTAATTGAGTTTGTGGTTGGTTTGAATTGCAGCCACTTTTATTCCTGTCTGCCTTGTTAAGAATTCTGCGTTAGGTTGTTTCCGAGGTTCCTTCCTTGTATGGAAATACTACTGATGATTTAGATTCTTTATTGTTGGTGTTGTCTTGAGCATGTTTGACTTGTATGTAGTCATTAATATTATTATTATCACTATTGCTACTATTGTAACAACAGAAGACAAGGGCCAGGCAACAGATCAGTTTTATTACAAAAACCAACAGTTATTTATATGTATTTTACGTACATTAATAAGGCTCTGCCCGCAGAAAGAAGGCGGTCTTCTGATTGGTTGTTTGCAAACAAAGGCAGTCTTCTTCTGCTTTCTCGTTTTCGATATTTCTCGGAAATGCGAGCCACTTGTCTGCGAATCATATTTGTCCACGTCTAGGTCAGCTGTGATCGGTTGTTAAATCAGCCTGGATTAATTTCCACCAATCAGCGTAGATCAATGTCTACCAATTGGCTAGCAGCTTGCTCTCACCACACTATCATTATTTTATTTTTACATTTTCTTACATATTTCTTGACTAATTTATCCGAGTAATTATTAAGTTTCAAGGCTTCTCTTATATGTATCACTTCCTGTCTTAGATCTTCCTTGGTACTAATTAATTTTTGTGCTGTCATCTAGACATTTCACCAATCCTATTTTTACTGACATAGGATGGGATGATCGGAAGTCCAAATATCGGTTTGAATGTGCGGGTTTCCTGTAAACACACTAGTGTGTTTAACTTCCAATCTTCTTTCCTTTTTACGCTACAATCTAACATTGGAAGCTCCCCCACTTCCTGACTTTCCAATTCATCATAAGTGAATTGAATTGCCTCCACCTTTGAGTTATAATGTGTTCGAAAAATCTATCTGCATCCTGTGTTCTAAGTACAGTGAATGAGTGTCATCTACATACCTCCACCACACATTTGGGGGGGGGGGGCAAATACATGTAATAGGAATGATTCAACACCTGTCCAGCTAGATATCTGGAAAATTCTACTACCCCAAAGACGACGACAAATGGGAGAGAACAAAGAAAACTATCAAACTCAAGTTTTGAAGTCGTGTGATTATAATTGGTGATGTGTATGATTATGAACCAAAATAATTAATTGTGTTCGAAACTGTGTCATCCAGTAAATACTAATACTGTTTCACTCACCGTGTGATACATCCATCAAATAAAAAGCTAATATGGAATCACTTACTACCACCACCACAGTGCACAAGTTTTACACATATATCAAAGGGAACATTATACTTACCAAACAACCTCAACAAGTGGATTGAACCATAAATATCTGACATTCTCTTATCTGTATGATGTTTCAATAGCTCAGCATATTGTAGTCGTTCAAATTTGTATAAAAGATGAGAACCAATAGTAAGATTGAAAAAATGCTGAATTCCGGCAACAAATTCACGCCTTACACCCGGGTTTATTGCCAACTTATCAGTATTTAGCTGAGAGTTCTCAGGTTCAGAAGAAGTGCAGTCTTCTTTTGCTTCACAAGTTGATTCCGACTTAGCGATTTCAGCCTCAGAAGCTTCTAAGAAATCTGATAAAACATTACATATTGGCTGAGAAGCAGGCAGTTCATAAAGCTGAGAAAATTTAACCGAAGAAAAAATAATTCAGAAAGGAAAAACCTCTAGCTTCTTGACACATATAAACTCACTAGTAGAGGGAATAAAATTCGCATCTGAATCGGTAAATAAACAAGGAGAATTAGCTGTGATGTTAGATTGTAAAATAAAACGAATAGAAGAAGGTAAACTGCACACTAGCGTTTTTAAAAAGCTAACGCATTCTGCTAATAGATATTCAGACTTTAATTCATCTCATCTGTCCGTTATCTGTCTGTTAAGGCAGGCTTAGTTAAGTTACGTGTTTAACAAACCGAGCAATAGCACTAAGTAACACAAGAAAAGGCCTAAATGATGAAATAAAACAGACAGAAGAAGAGGCGTTGGTGTCAAATAAATTATAAATTTCATTAGGAAGATAGAAAAAGGCCAAGAGCAAAATAAAAATAATTCTGAAACTAGTAATGATAATATAAATAAGAGTGAATATAAGTCATCTACAGCAGTTATACCATATAGGGAGGGGACATCTGAGATACTCCCCACGTAGGATTCTTTATAAAGCAGGAATTAGAGTAGTGGCATTCAAACCTACAAACTGATTAACTCGGGTAGAACAACGTCTGTAGGCTCTGTAGGACCCTGTCGGTTGACCCAATTACACAAAATAATATAATTTACAAAATACCCTGCAATGACTGTGAGTTACGTCAACTACTTACATAGGTCAAACTAGTAGGTCGGGAGTAGTCGGATTGTCGGAAAATAAGAATTTACCTAAGGTAAGAATGGTTGACCCCACCCGAGAAGATAAGTAATTTAGAAAAAAAGCACTCAGCACTACATTGCACTGCATGCATTAACATACAACCACACAATAGCATGGTGGGAGAGGGTTGAAATTCTAAGAAGTAATCTATGTAGGTGGAGAGAGAGAGATTGATTACTGCATCCTGCCTGGTCCATTGAGTCTACACCCAACAGAACACATACAACAGAAATGACTCAATGCAAATACCAGAGATATGCATGGAAGATATTATTACCGCCAGTCACATAAAAAACAAACCTTTGTCTCTATAATATGAAGTGAGATTTACACTACAATAGTAGTGAGAAGACAATTTATCACAGAAAAGAACAAAATACGCTGAGGACAATAAGTTTTAACTAGGGGTATTGAGAACTCATTCCACTGAATCAATACGAAAGTAAATCAGGAAGGCTTCGTGTGCTTTTGGAAGTGTGTGTGGGCGGTTGTTACTTTCCGGCTGCCCACACCACTGTGGAAGTTGATTGATTCTTCGGGTACCTGAAACAGAGAGACGTTTAGTTTTGCGTGACCGCAGAGCCCAGGGGACACAACTGATTTCTTGATTTGGTTCCGTATTAGTAAACTTACCGCCGGTTACGGACCACCGTAGGTCGGGTAAGTTGGGATGTACAATTTTTGGGGTCAATCTTTTTTAACCCCCTCTCTCCAGAGTGGAGAGACAGCATAGGTGGCTGGCTTGCTGGTCATCTGAAGGAAACACCTCACTGCTGTTACACCCCTGTTCCCCACCAGTACGACTTCGCCCAAAGACCTCCAGCAAACTGAAAGAAAAATTCACGCAGGAATGACAATTTACCAATATTGATGTTACCTGGACAAAGAGTGTGCATTGTAGTGATGCTCATAACCCTTTTTATACACAAAGGCATTTGATACGGAACCATGACATCACGTTCCTCAAAGACTTAGGGTGCAAGGTATGTTTCATAAAGTGGAAGCAACAGGTGAGTATTTTTTTTTGCTGCAGTTGTCTATGTTCCCCTTTTTGTTCCATTTCTAAAAGAGCCACTCTCACCATGTTACACGTTTTAAGAAAGCAGAGAATGGTAAAGTTAACAGAACACAGACGTGATAAAAAAGAAAGAAAGAAACAGTAGTAACTTCGATCATAGGTGCCTGCGTTCTATCTCCCGAGTGAAGTGGTATAATAAGGTGAGCAATATTGAGGTTAGGCGTCGGTCGAGTGCTAGGTAAGGGAGGAGGGGAAATCAATCGACAATGAGGCTGTGAAATTGCATCGACTGAGTGAGGTAGTTAGGACATGTGTTATGCATGCATGCCTGGTCATCGCCTTCCTCGACAATGGGCAATGTT